CTGCTTGGCTATTTCAAGGTCCAGCAGTAGTATAGGCAACCTTACACTTTTGTCGGGGTACTACGCCCGTTTTGGATACTGGACAATAAGTAAGGTATGCAGTGGTATGCAGGATACCCTTGTCCCGAACCGCAAGCCCCAAACCAAAGCCACGGAACAGATCACAAGCACAGGACGAATCTTGTTCAAGCTGCTGCTTGACCCCCCAAGAAAAGACCGTTCTAGCACACAGAAGCCCTAAACCCTAAACCTGACGAAATCGCTCCGAAGCCCTAAACCCCTGTCACAAAATGTCAGGCTTCCGCGGGCAAGGTCTTCGGGACGCCACAGCACAAGTTTTTCAGGAACCGGGAGCGGTGGTTGGTACCTTCTTATTTGGAGATAGGTAGAATAGGGCTCTTACTATTTGAGGTACCATCTTTAGGGTCCCTTGTTTTCGGAAACGCCCATACAGTCCCTATACTTTAGCAGTAGCAGCAGGGTGTAGGGTCGGGGTTTAGGGTCTAGGCTCTAGGGTTCAGGGTCGGGGTTGTTCGGGGTTGGAGGCTTTAGGGGGTAGGGTTTAGGGAGGGCTTCGGGGAGATCCCTCATAGAACCCTTGTGTATTGCTGTTAGAGGACAAGGCTTCGTATTTTTTACTCGGTTCGTGGGTTCTTTGATAACCCTAAGGGTCCATGCATCCGAAAAGTATATACTTCGGCTTGAAAGTAGTCCCTATACAGGTACTTTGGGGCCAAAGTATATACTATTCGGGTACATGGGCCCTAAGGGCCTGAACCCTAAACCTTAAACCCAAAACCCTAGACCCTAAACCCTATACCCTAAGGTAAAAGCCAGAAAGTTGGAATATGATTATCCTAACCCTTCTATGGTAAATTATAGGGTATCCTACCATGAAACCATATTCCAACTTTCTGGAGTTCCCTGTAGACCCTCAAGATAAGGGCTTTCGGAAGGGTTCTATGAGGGTTCTGCGGGGGTTTGGGGGATCTTGTGCTCGACGAACTTAGCAAACTCGAGAGTGCATTTGGGGTTTAGGAGGACTGTACTTGGAGGATCATGGGACTTAGTAAGTAGGGTTATAAGTACTCTAATTGGGGTTATAAGTAATTATAAGTATAGTTACCCTAATTATAACCCTAATTACTAAGTCCCATGATCCTCCAAGTGCAGGGTTTACTAGGATGCCCAGTAGTACCCTTATTCCCTTTTTCTAGTCCTAGGTTCCTTATAAAGTTACCCAATACCAAAAAGAGAAGCCTTTTTATTCTTAGGTTACTGGGTATCCTAGTTTAGGAGAACTGCAGCGGACTTGAAAGCTTTGAGTCTTCAGTTAAAGCCTCAGTTTAAGGCCTAAGCCTCAAACCCTAACCCTACACCCTACACCCCAAACCGTAAACCCTAAAACCTTAAACCCTAAAGCCTAAACCCTGAAGCCTAAACCCGAAAGCCTAAACCGTAAACCCGAAACCCTAAGCCCGAAACCTTATAAACCCTAAGTTCTAAACCATAAACCTTAAACCCTAAGCCCTAAAGCCTAAACCTTCAACCCCTAAAGCCTAGACCTTAAACCCTTGAACTCCCAAAGTCACCCTGTGACCAGAACCAGCTGCAGACCTACCGCGTGAGCTTCTGCACGACGTGCATGGAGAGAGGTTTCCAGCTGCGCAGCGCGTTTGCACTGAACGTTGCCACGCAATGGGGTCTGCTGATGTCAGGCAGCGTCCGCTTCGTGATCAATATATCTTCAACTCCAAGACGGAGGATGGTCGGAAGACGTTGACGCTCATCCAGCATTTTTACGAGGACTTGATTGGCTGGGGATGTTTGGTCCTGGCCACCATGGACGGCATTGACGGTTTCCATTCCTGCAAGTGCGAGAATGCCGCGCACAAGCTGGCATTGAGCACGCCCTGGTGGCTAGCGAGTAGGCCCTTGTTCCCTAGGATCCCTAAACCCTAAACCCTAAACCGTGTAACCCAAAAAGGGCACCCTTTTTGTTCCTAGGTTACTCTTGGGTTTAGGAGGCTGATGTCAAGCAGATCGCCTGGACTTGTCGGAAACTCTGAACATCGCCATCTTTTCAACTCGACTAAATCCCCATGAATGCCTGAACCCACAACCCTAAACTCCCTCTCCTCTCTCTCTCTCTCTCTCTCTCTCTCTCTCTCTCTCTCTCTCTCTCTCTCACGCATGCAGACGTCCGGAGCGTAAGCAACCCAAACCCCAAAACCCTAAATTTCAATCCCTGCATCAGAAGTCCCCTAGGTCCTACTGTTACTACATCGCCAAGGGTATAGCTTCCGAGACACCCGGGAGGATTTAGAAAGTAGATCCCCTAATTCGGGGCCCTATACTACTAAGGGTACTTTATAGGAACCCCCATTAAGGGATCTACTTTGTGGATCCTCCCGAGGTCTGGGTTCAGCAGTTGTGCGTATAACGCTCGGACCTGCGGAAACCTGTCTCAGCAACCCCATAACAACATCTCACAGACTCTGAAACATAAAGCCTAAATAAATCCTGGCCCAAAACCTCAAACGGACCTTAAGCTCAAAAAACCCAGACCCCCGGGAGGATCCAACAAGTAGATCCCTTAAGGGGGGGGTCCCGTAAAGTACCCTTAGTAGTATGCTCGATCCCCCTAGTTAGCAAAATGAGGGTCCGGCCCCTTGTGGACACCCTAAATATTCGGTGCCGTATCATATTAGGGACCCAAAAAGGGACCATAATTTTGACAACCACCCATATGACAACTAATACTTCGGGGTTGTAGAGGGTTTCTTGATCTGGTTCCTACACTACCCCCAATGAGGTTGTACAATGCCTTGTAAACGTATAAAACTCTTCTACACTCTTGGTCAAGGCACATATATAATCCACGCAGAACCCTTGAGATAAATAAGGCAACATGTTGAAGCCCTATAAGACTATAAGAGGGTGCCAGAGCTGCAAAGCTTGGTATATAGACTCCTTTATTACCCTGTGCAAGCCCATAAAAACCTAGTGAGAGAATGCAACCCTTGATAAAATATGAAATCCTTCCTAAACTCATCTGAACTCCTAAAAACGTAAACCCCAAATCCCTTTGGCAAACCCCACTTGGAGGGTGAAGGGAACTTAGTAAGTAGGTAATAAGTAGACTTATAAGTGCCCTGAAAGGGATCCTAATTTTTGGTTACGGGTTGTGGTATTTTGAGTCTACTTTTTTACCTACTTACTAAGCCCCCTTAACAGGAGCGCGCGTTCAACTCTGACGGCAGCCTCACGCACTGCTTCTGTCGCCCAGGCCCTGGCATTTCGTAAAGTTTCGAGATGTCCTTGCTTGGAGGGTTTAGTGGTTTAGGGTTTAAGGTTTAGTTTAGGGTTTATGGTTTCGGGTTCATGAGGTTTAATTTATTAGGACTTAGGGTTTCGGGGTTAGGACTTAGGGTTTCGGGGGACCGGGTGACATAGTAATTAGTGTTTTTATTTACTGATAAGTATCATAACCCCGATTGGAATCCCCTTTCCAGTACTCGTTTATATATATATATATATATATGTATGTATATATGTACATATATATATATACACAATATGTACATACATATGTATGTATATATGAATATATATATATATATATATCCTGCCTACTTATTTGTTAGAGAACTGTTGTAGGACTATGCCTACTTATTTGTTAGAGAACTGTTGTAGGACTTAAACCCCCCTCCCCCGCCCAAACCCCTAAACCCTAAACCCCAAACCCTAAACCCCTAAACCTTACACCCGAGATACAGGAATCCTGACTTGCGGTTTAGGGTTTAGGGTTCGGGGGATCGGATCCAGTAGGGGTTTAGGCAGTTTAGGGGTTTAGGGGTTCAGGGGTGTGTACATGTGGGGCTTAGCGTTCAGCGATTATTTTAGGGGTTTAGAAGTAGGGTTTAGGTTTAAAGGGTTCGTTAACGGCGCATTGGCGTGACGTGTTTGAGACAAGTTCCTGGCAAGGAAGTGTGCATTTCAGGATCAGGACTTGGAGGGCCGGGGAATTTAAAGTAGGTAAGAGAGCAAACGTATAAGTACCCCAATGGGGGTCCAAAATAGCTAAGCCCCCACACCCTAAAAAGACCCTTAACCCCCCAAACCCCAAAAGCACTTGAACCCTAAGCCCCCAAACTCTAAAACCCTACTTGGAGGGTCGGGGGACTTAGCAACTAGATTTTTTAGAGATTTATAAGTACCATAACACCAATTCGGATCCCTTTTGTGGTACTTATAAGTCTACTTATTACCGACTTACTGAGTCCCCCGACCCTTCAAGTAAACCCTAAGCCCCTAAAAAGCCCGAACCCTTAACCCCCCCAAACCCTCAAAAACACTTGAACCCTAAACCCCCAACCCTAAACCCTAAACCTCTAAAACCCTAAGCCCTAAGCCCCTAAAAAGGCCCGAAGTTTCAGCCCTGAGCTCGAAAATTTGAAGTCCAAACAGACTTCGGTTCGACACCCCATAATCCAGAACATTTTGTATATATATTTATATATATATATGTATGTTTATATTACGTCATATACTATCCATTATATATTGTAAAATATATAAGCATACTATATATTGAGTATCATCAAGAATATTTATTAGTTACTAAATGCAATGTGATTTATATATTATAGCTTATATCATGTACGTGTGTATGTTATAAGTTTTGTGTATTACATATATTTACATATATGTATATACACACATATATTTATTGTCTTTCTTATCATCATATTGTACCCAACATGTAATTTCATATTATACAATATTGTAGGCATATATATATATATACATACATATGTATATATATATATATATATATGAGATTCATTTTATATGTTATATGTTATCATTATCTCTCTCTCTATATATATATGTATATGATATATATATATATATATATATATATGTTTATTCTAAATTACATATTACATGTCAGATAATTTTACTATATGACATTGTAGGAGAGGCTGTGCCCAGTCATGTCCTCGCTTACTGTGCGCATTGCGTTTCTGAGCGGCGAAGAGCATGGCATCTTGGCTCAGGGTCGTTTTAGGGTTTAGGGTGTAGGGTCGTTTAGGGTTTAGGGTCGTTTAGGGTTTGGGGTCGTTTAGGGTTTAGGGTTTGGGGCATCTTGGCTCAGTGTCGTTAGGGTGTTGCCTGGGCGGTTGTGTAAATTATGGTCCCTTTTTGGGTACCCCAAATAAACATTAGGTGCCGTATTTCAGTTAATAAGGACCCAAAGAGGGAGCTTAATGTTGACAACCACCCACCTGAGGCCGAAAGCCTGGACTCATTAGCGTGTTCATATGGAAGCCCCAAGGCTCAAGAGTTGCCACTTGGAGGATCATGGGACTTAGTAAGAAAGGTTATAAGCACCCTAACTGGGGTTAAAAGTAATCATAAGTATGGTTACCCTAGTTATAAACCTAGTTACTAAGTCCCATGACCCTTTAAGCAATATCATTCGAAGAGCATAGCATCTTGGCTTCAGGGTTTGAGATGTATACTCTCGGGACCTAAACACCACCGGTATCAGCTATTTTTACGCATTGGGTTAGGGTTTTTAGGCTCTTTAGGCTGGTACCTAAACCCTACATTGCCCTACACCTAAATCCTAAACTCATTAGGGTGTTCATATGGAAGTCTAAATCGTTGCCAATATCATTCTCTACATTTCATTGTTTCTGTATGCTGCGTTATATCCCCCAAACCCTATTCAAATATGTATATATATATATATATATGTATTTATACTTTTTATGTAACTTTTATCTATCTGTCTACCTATCTATCTATCTATCTATACACAGTATGTATATATATATATATATGCAAACACATATGTATGTATGTATGTATGTATGTATGTAAGTATGTAAGTATGTAAGTATGTAAGTATGTATGTATGTATGTATGTATATATATATATATATATATAACCCTACATGCGACTACATGGGTACTTCAGACCCTTTGGGCCCCTAAACCCTCAAGCCTAAACCCTTAACTGGTTGAGGGCTCCAGGTCTTTAGGGTGAAGGGGCTTGGTGCTTTCGTTTCAGCTTTGCTTTTGACAGCTGCCGAGAGAAGGTACTTGGAGGTGGGGGGAGCCCCGTATTGATGGATTTCGTGCGTAGCCACCCGAGGTATCACTGTGCCAATCCATGCTACAGTCGATGACCTTCGGGCGACTGCGGAAATGGAGATGTAACTGAGCTCGCGAGTAGCACTTACGAAGCCTGTAGGCGAACGTCAAACTTAAAAGGGTTATAAAGTATGAATTGTGTTGGCGTCTTTCTTTTGAAATAAAGTAGCATGGGGAGAAGTATTGAGGATACGTCGTTTGGGTGTTGAAGGGTTTCGAGTTTATGTCGTGTTCTGGGAGGTCTTAGTTCCGAATGCAGCTACATCAAGCTCCGGTGCCCTGACCCTTGGTTGTAAGAAGCGCTTGGTAAACCCCGAACCCACAGCTCTGAATCCATCATTCCAAGGGTAAAAGGGGAGGGACCCTTAATAAGGACCCCTAGTTATATACCCTTAACATAGCTATCATATACCATTACGTATATAGACCATTATAGCGTAGGGGTCCCCATTAAGGGTCCCTCCTTTTCCCCTTCGAATCATGAGTGTTTGCGTAGGGTTCCAGTGTAAGCCCTCCTTTTCTGTAGCGACTTTGCATAATACTCTACGTGCATTTTTGTGGCAGCTCAGCCTACCTTAAACGTGCAAGACCTTCTATTGGCACACGGTGCGAGCTTTCTTACTTGGGATACAACTTGGACCCTTAGTAGGGTCCTCTATTTGTCGAACCCCTGCGTTGCTGAATCCCAGCTGAGCTGCACAATTTTCTCTCCACCTGCAAGGCGCAAAAGTCTGGGTAAACTGATATCTGCCAGCGGCACCGTCCTGCCTGCTTCTTGTCAGTGCGAGGGTTCTTTCCTTAAATACTTGCAGCCTCAAGCCCTAAATCCTAAATCCCAAGTCCCCCAAACCGTAGATCCTGGTTTAGGGTTTAGGGTTTAGGGTTTAGGGTTTAGGGTGAGTTTCACCGTCTTGGTTTCGGCCTTGGCTTTAGCGTGTAGAGGATTGTGAGACACGTAGTATACCTAGCTGATAGCGTACATGTAGGGTTTAGGGTTCATGAGTTTAGGGTTTTTGAGGTTCAATAGTTAAGGATTCGGGGATTTTGGGTTTGGAGAGTTTAGGCACTTGTGTGAGCTTGTGTTGCCTCGGAGACGGGCGACTAAGGCTTCAAGCACACTCGCGCAGGAAGACATCAAGGATGGTAACTCTACGGCTCTTGGGGACGTGTTTGTTTTGCTCATTGTCTTTCTCTCTGGCTTGTATTTTCTATGTTTTAGGAATCCGCACAAACTAGGTACTGTTTGCTAGTGTGTACCTTCTAAGAGGAGTAATTAGCGGTGAAGCTGCCCGCCTCAAACACTTGGGTAGTTTGATGGAGCGGAACCCTAAACCCTAGAAACCTAGGATGCCCAGTAGTACCCTTATTCCCTTTTTCTAGTCCTAGGTTCCTTATAAAGTTACCCAATACCAAAAAGAGAGGCCTTTTTATTCTTAGGTTACTGGGTATCCTAGAAACCCTAAACCCGAAACCCTAGAACCCCTAAAGCCGTAAGCCTCTGTCATCCTCAACTTGCTTTTGAGGACCTAGAGTAGGCCCTTATTCCCTTTTTCAGGGGTTCAGGTTCCCTTATAAGCCCCTTTAAACCAAAAAGGGCACCTTTTTTGTTCCTAGGTTACTCTTGGGTTTAGCTTTGAGGTGATGTCATCACTGCAGTTTTCCAAGAGGTGACTGTAGCAGCAGCCACCAGCGCATTTGCCGTGATCCGCTCAGATGCCACAGTTCCGCGTACGAGCATCCATCGAGTTTTCCCTAAGGGTCCTAACACTTCTAGGGGCGCCAAAAGCACATAAGCATAAGCATTTTATAGGGATATATCCCTGCCTTATTGGGCTTCATTATCAGGGGATTTATATGGGATTTCCCTATCCTGATTTTTGCTGATGTGTTTTTTTTGATTTTTGGGGCCCTATAAGGGTCCCAACACTTCGGGGAACCTCTAAATGTAGGAGTTCTGCGACCCCAAAGAGACCCAAGGGCTCTCCCTAGGAGATTCCGGACCCTCCTAAGGAGATACCTGGACCCTTAGGCACAAAACCCTAAACCCTAAGCTTTAAGCCCCAAATCCCGACTCCCCAAGCCGAAACCACCAAAGCCCTAAAGCTCTCAACCTGAAATCCGGTATATACCCCATGAGGGTTCCTTTAAAGGGGGCCATATTCAAGAATCCTATAGCAGCCTTTAGAGGGGACCCTATAGCAGAACCCTACAGTATCCCTTTAAAGGTTCCCTCACCCCCTTCGATTGAAGGGTCCATTGTTCGTTGAGGTTGTTGCGTGGGGAATCCCGCAAGTTGGCGGAGATTGCAGTGCAGTTCAGGAACAGCTGCAGCATGTGCAACCCGGTAGACCACGCATTGAGTGTTGACTTTTGGGGGTTTGGGGCTCAGGCGTTTCCTTAGGGGTACTTAGAAATAGTTTTTAATTTTGGGTTATTATAATCCCTACGAAACAGCTAGAATTATAATTGTTGCTAGGATTCTAAGTTCAGTATAGTTTTGGGGGTTTGGGGCTCAGGCATTTCGGGATTCTGGATTTGGTGCTCGGGGTTCGGATCTATCGAAATCCCTTTAACTTAGGGTTATAATCCCTAAGAAACATCTAAAATTACAATTTTTGCTAGGGTTCTAAATTCAGTAACATTCCAGGTGTTAACCTTTCGAAGATGCTGCATGTGGGCCACTATTGTAGAAGAAGACCTCAAGCTGTCGTCATGGATGGTCTTAGGACGCCATTTCTCCATCATGGTGGCAACCTCTTCCCCAGATCATTGCCGTCTTGCCGTTGTTAGAATACTGGGTGGGATGTGAGTCGGCTTCTGCTTCCTGTGGCCCGTACTCCCTAGACATTCGGCCCCGGCAGAAACTTGAGTTTCTTCCGGGCCCTCCCCCATATCACAGATTTGATGGAATAAGGCAATCCATTCAAGCAACATGGGATGCCTTCGCAGCACTTCGCACTGATGGTACAGTCGTGACCTGGGGCGATCCTTTCGGTGGGGGCGACAGTTCTTCAGTGCAAAGCCAGCTCTGTAACGTTTGCCACGTTCAATCCACCGCCCGGGCTTTTGCTGCCATCAAGGCGGACGGAAGTGTGGTGACGTGGGGTTCTCGAGCCAATGGTGGCGATTGCAGTGCTGTGCGTGATCAGCTCTATAGCGTGCAGCAAATCCAATCCACTAGAATGGCTTTTGCTGCCCTTCGTGAAGACGGATCTGTGGTAACCTGGGGCGAGAGTGCTTCTGGCGGTGATAGCTCTGCTGTTCGTGATGAGCTGCAAGAAGGAGTTCTGAGTATCTACGCCCAAGACCACGACTTCCCGGGCGTCATGAGCCCCCTACTAGCGCATGAGTTTGGAAGGGTGTTGGGCTTCGAGGCGTCGGGTTCCGGATACTTGAGTGTAGTTTTTTGGCTGAACCGTCTGGGTTGGCCATAACACGATCAGAACTGAACGGTTCTCGGCCATAAACTGAACAACCACCGAGTACGTAGCCGGGTAGGTAGCCTTTAACCTTTCGGGGGGTTATCTATATATATATATACATATACATATACATATACATATACATATATACTTCTAATAACATATCTGAAAAGATCAACGTTTTGGGGGCTAAGGTAGTCAGCCCCTAAGACCAAGGCTTTCCCGGCTTCGCTGCTATCAAAGCAGGCGGTCGCTTTGTTTTTTGCGGTGGTGGTTATGCCGCTCCGCGGGGCTTGATCCACTCCGGGCTTCTTTGCAGCTGAGTTTAAAAACTTCAAGCTCTTTGGGATAACGAAGCCCTATCAAAACTGAAAGCTTAATCTTGTTTGGGCTTATGAACTCGGCAACTAAGGCTTGACGACATTGCGCATCTCCAAGTGTCTTGGCGGCCAACCAGCCCCAAATTTATGGGCTTGCGTTCTGCTATTGACTTGAGATTGATTTGAACTGGGTTTCACTGCAACACGCTAGCTTATCAAAACCAGAACGACGATCCGTGATGTAAACTGGCCACTGCTACATCCGTAGGAGGTAGTTGTACGTATGTCACAGGGCATTTGACTCCAGTCATTGGTACACCCTCAAATTTACAACCGTGACTAAACCTACCCCAAACCCAAAGCTAAAAAGCCCTGAACCCTAAGCCTTCATTAATTTAAGCACCCGAAACTCAAAACCTGTGTTCCTTGAGGTTGTCGGGGGACGGTGGGCTGCTGCTTCGAAGAATGGACACTTGGCACTCAGCCTTGAACCCATTCGCGGTGACAGGTGCTTGCTGGTTCCGGACTGCGCAAGCAGCCTCGCAGGTTGCCCGGAGTGCCTTGCAGTGCTTCAGAAAGACGGAACGGTGCAGTTCTGGGGGCACTGTGCCCCCAACTGGCTTCGGAACGAACTGAGCAATGTTGTCCGCGTTCGGATGGCCGGTGGATTTGGTGCAGCCCTCCGATCAGATGGGTCAGTCGTGCTGTGGGAATTCACAGAGCGTGGTGCGATTTCGTGTGCGTCTGCGAAGGTGCACAGGCAGCTAACGGATGTCAAGGACATACAGGCAAATCCGTGCGCTTTTGCCTTTCTTCGACGAGATGGGTCTGTTGTTGCTTGGGGAGATGACACATGCGGAGGCAACAGTGCAGCAGTGCAACCACATTTAAAGGAAGTCGTCAGCATCCAAGCGAGCTACGCTGCCTTTGCTGCGATTCGTCGTGATGGATCCGTGGTGACATGGGGTGATCCACGGAACGGGGGTGAGAGCAGTCTGGTGCAAGAACAGCTGGGTCGTCGAGTCGCCAACGACAACGACAAGCAGGCGGCTTTCAGGGCAAAGCAGGCTGGTGCTCACAACAGGGTCAAGTCCCAAGTGTTGAAGAAGCCTTCCAAGAAGTATTCGAAGAAGTAGAGGGTGAGGGCGCAGCACGTGAACTCGGTCACGCGGAGTGATCTAAAGCAAGACAACATCGCAGTATCAAAAGATTCGACGAGCCTCGACAGCGGGGTGATATGGGTTTTTTCCCGCACAGTATGTGCTGTGGCCTGAAGTGGCACGTATCTCAATTATCCTGATGTCAAGCCCCAAACTCAATGTCTTATTATCTACTATTTGCTTAAGAAACACCCAAAAAATTAAAAAAAAAAAAAACTATATTACCACCATAAGGAATATGTTTTTTATTTTTTAGGGGTTCTTAAGCAAATAGTAGTCAATGTCTTATTATAGCCCTAAAGCCTGATCCCCAAACCCTATCCTAACATATTCTAACTCTTCCCGGGCTTTGGGGGTGGCTGTTTGGGGTTAGGGATTAGGGTTTAGGGTTTAGGGTTCAGGGTGTAGGGTTTAGGGTTTAGGGTTCAGGGTTTAGGGTTTAAGGGTTTAGGGTTTAGGGGTTTAGGGTTTATGGTTTAGGGTTTAGGGGTTTAGGGTTTAGGGTTTAGGGGTTTAGGGTTCAGGGTTCAGGGTTTAGGGTTCAGGGTTCAGGGGTTTAGGGTTCAGGGTTCAGGGCTTAGGGTTTTGGACTTTAGAATGCATCCCTCAACCCCTGAACACTGAAACCCTCTAAACTGAACCCTTCAACCCGAAACCCTGTTTCCTTTGTTAAACCCTAAGTACTTAGTATTCAGGATCATACTTGGAGGGTCGGGGGACTTGGTAAGTCGCTGTTTCAGACTTATAAGATCTTGCAGGTATCATAACCCTAATTGGGATCCCTTTTGGGGCTCGCTTTAAGTCCACTTATTGTTTGCGTACTAAGTCCCCCACCCGCCTAGATACGCTCTAAGAGCGGGTACTTTCGGTGCAAACCCCACCGCGCCAAGCTCTAAACCAGCTCAGAAGAAGGCTGTCTCCACTAGGGTTTCGGGTTTATGCCGCAAAAGTTTGCTGAATAAGGTTTCCTGCTTTTATAGGCTGCAATAGGGATGTACAGGGGTCTATAGGTTTACGGGGCTGATGAACATCATAGTCCTACACCCTAAACCCTAAACCATTCAGGATTTCGCCCATCGACCGGGTTTTGGAGCGAAGAACTGGAGAACCTCTGTAATCACAGTGCTGAGGACAACAAGCGAAGCCGTAAAGTGACCCAAAACCTGTGGGCGTGCTTGAGTCTAAGCATCCTAGATTGGGCTTACGAGGGCCTGTGAACATAGTGTAGCATTATGTAGTATTGCACTGCGCACTATATTCTGTATTATCACACATCGTATCGTTATCATATCATATTTTGCGTAACAGCATTATAGTTACTGGAGTCTAGTGTACGTAATATTGCATTCTTATACATCATGTGGTTCTGCATTTTACTATTTTATTTGCTGATATGATATTCCCTATATTTCACAGCGCAGTATATTTTTCTATGTTATACAATATGATATTGTTTCATATAATCATCTGTATTGAGTTCTATAATTTTGTACAACAATTCAGTAGGTTGAGTTATCCCATGTTGTACTGGCAGATATTCCAGCATAACACTTGTTATATTGTGCTATACTCTGCTGTAACATGTTATATCCTATACCTTGCTTTACTACTTTATGCTTTGTGACATTTTATGTGGCATATTACATGATATCGAGTTTTCATATTGTATATTAAAACCAATCATATTACATCTTTTTCCTCAAACCATACCACACTATATCAGACTACATCATTTACGGACGTACATACTGACGACCGAATTTGGGCTATTTTGCTGCCTCTCCAACGCCAGAGCATCAGCATGCACCCCTAGAGTTAAGAGCTGCAAGCTCCCAAGCATTACTTGGAGGGTCGGGGGACTTAGTAAGTAGTTATTCTATAGACTTATAAGTACCATAACCCAAATTAAGGGTCCCCTTTAGGGTACTTATAAGTCTACTTACTACCTACTTACTAAGTCCCCCGACCCTCCAAGTAAGTCATGAAAACCCGAAGCCCGAAACCCTAAACCCCATTTGGAGGGTCCGGGGACTTAGCAAGTAGCTATTATACATTATAAAGAGATCGGACCCTGTCCTTTTAAAGTAGGGGGTTTAATAACTAGCATAGAGTTTGGGGCTCCCTATTGTAGTTATAATAGAATATACCCCCAAACCCTATACTACTTATCAAGGCCTCTACTATAGAAAGCACCCGAAGCCGGACCCGATACACTGAAGGAAGCCCTCAGACCTCATCAACCCGAAAGGAAGACCCTAAACTCTGACCCCGAGCCTACAACCCGAAATACAGTAAGCTGCTAATTGATAGGCCTTAGTGATTGGAACAGGGTATTGAACTATATCCCTAGCATGTCTTTTGGGACCCAGTTCCAAAATGGTACTAAACTAAACCCTAAACCCTAAACCCTATAGATCCCTTTAAAGGGACCCTTATAGATCCCTTTAAAGGGACCCTTATAGATCCCTTTAAAGGAAGGAGATCTGCACTCGCTGGGTTCTATATTAAGTTCGAAAACCTGGCAGGTCCGAGCGTGCAGGCTTCACTGCCCATCGAGCGCCAGTACGATATCAGCATCTTATCCTTTGAAGGGACTAGGACCCAGAGTAGGCCCTTATTCCCTTTTTCAGGGGTTTAGGTTCCCTTATAACCCCCTTTAAACCAAAAAGGGCACCCTTTTTCTTCCTAGGTTACTCTTGGGTCTAGGGGATCTATAAGGGTCCCTTTAAAGGGATCTATAGGGTTTAGGGTTTAGGGTTTAGGGTGGTTTAGATGATAATAACAATTAGGCTAAAGCATGGCTAGTTATGCTGCACAGAACAACAGTGATATTCGTAAGGGTCCAAAGGACTTGATGATCAGGTGCTTGGGACTTCACTAGATAGGATTGTCAAGCCGCGGACAGCCAGCACTTTTTCAGCTACAGGGGCTTCACGAGTACCGGTTTCGGCATCAAGCCTTGTTCAACCCTCCCTGGTGGCCAAATGCCTGCATAGCAAAGGCGATGTTGGCTGCTGGTGAATTGTTTTTATAAAAACACTGACCCTCCCACCACCCTTTCAGTGTAGAGGTGCTACCTCCAGTTGTCATGATAATGCAGTCGAAATGCATTTCGCTATACAGTAAATGCCAAGTGCAAAGAAGTATCATGTTTAAAAATTCCTTTGAGCGCCCGAGCGTGTTTGCTGAAGCAACTCTTCAGGACTTTTGATGGAACAGAACTACTGTACTTCAGAACTAGGAAGATCTTTCTGTGCTCGGTGTTGCATGACCGTCCACTGGCTTCGAGTTTAGCCAGGGTTTTGCGAATGGTGGCCCAAGTGTCTTGGAATGCATAACCTCTCATCGCCAGTCGTCGAGCGAAGAACTGCAGATTTGACAATCGATCGCATCGAGATTTGTTGATTCTCCACATGCGGTAAGTTTCACCACGAATGATGCTGCTTGAAACCGAACTGGGATGGCAGCTAGCTTTTGGCAAGTATACTAGGACCCAGAGTAGGCCCTTCTTCCCTTCTTTAAGGTTTCGGTTCTTTTATAACCCCCTTTAACTCAAAAAGGGCACCCTTTTTATTCCTAGGTTACTCTTGGGTCTAGTATAGTTTAGGGTGCATTCATTAATTACGAGGTTTTGGAGTCTCGGGGAGCCTTTGGCCCCGTCGTGGAGGCTTGTGAATGGCCAAACGCACAGGCAAGTAGGATCAGGGTTTAGGGCTTAGGGTTTAGGGTTTAGGGTTTAGGGCTTAGGGTTTAGGGTTAGGGTTTAGGGTTTAGGGCTTAGGGTTTAGGGTTTGATCGTCTGTCCCAGTTAAAGTACATGCCCAGGGAGACCCCTTAATTGAGGAATAGACCCGAAAACTATACTAGGATCCCTAATAGGGATCTAAGTATATTCCTTCATTAAGGTATATTGGAAAGTCTGGGCCACGGGTACTCGCTAAATGTAGCACTGCAAAACATACACTCACCGATATTCGGGAAGCAGGATTCTCACGACGAGCACCCCAAATGACCTAGTATAGAACGCAATGTCCTGATCAACAGCAGGACTATAAAGCCGTATTTATCCGCATCTAAGCCTTTGAAAAACCCTAAATAGAAGAAACCCAAATAACACTTGCGCCCATAAGCCGTAAGAAAGAGCGTGAATTGTTTAGAAAACCACAAACTCTGAACTCTCCCCATAGGGCCCTGCAGAAAGCCCCTTGGAAACCTATAGCAGTCCATTCGTGTAAACTCTCAAGCAAACCCTAAGTTCTGTTGTAACGTGCATATGTATATGATTGTATATATAATATACATATACATTTATGTGTATGTATACTCATACCAGGACCACTGTTAACTTCATAAGCACTATTGAGTTTTATCAAGAAGCCCCTATAAGCCCATCAAGTCCTGAAATACAGCCTTGTAGTATGAAACAGCCAAAGCGCCAGTTAAAGCCCTTACTCTTGCATGGGCTTAGGATAAACGTCTTGTATGCTCGTGCTCGGGAGAGCTTTTGACCGTTCCCGAAGGGTCCAAGTACCCAAATAGTAGGGTTTCAAGGTCCAAAAACCATTCATGGCTAAAACCCTACTATTTAGATACTTGGACCCTCTGGGATTAGTTACTTGGACCCTCGGTGTTCAAGCTCCACTCGTAGAGGGTCCATTACTGCTGGTATGGAAATCTTAGTAGCTGAGTGGACGCACTTTACACTTTTTGGGATGAGACTACCCACTATAAAACTGAAAGTCTACACTGTTTGGGGCGCTTATGAACTCAGCCACTAAGAAATAGGCTCCCAAAAACATTACTAGGTAGGGCTTTGGGACATTTTATATTTTCCCTTATTGGGCTCAAGAGGATCTTATTTACTAATATTTTTCAAAGGCTTTAAAAGCTCCACCTGGATTAGACTGATGGTCTTTTGGACCCAATTCCAGAGTGATAGCATGTCTGAATTCTCTGGGTCTGTGACGCTATAGACC